CCTTGGGACTGAGGAGTTTAAGTGGAGGTAGCCTGGCTCTGGGTCCGACCTTTCAACTACAGGCCTAAACCTACAGGTCAGTAAACTGGGCCCTCAGAAGGAATCATGTCTGCACTATGAGAGCACAGCCCCCCACCCATCTGGCGTCTGTGGGGAGGCCTCCCCTCCCTGAGGAGTCCTGTTTAGGCTCACATCTGCCTGCCCTTGTGGCCCACTTCCCCCCCTACCCAATGGGGGGCTTCATTTGTCCACTTGCATTTCCCTGGTTCCTAATGAGATCCCTGGGCCCACCGTCTTTAGAAGCTCCTCTTCCGGGATCCACCAGTTTGCATCTTCCTTTGTCCCGTTAGCTAGAGTTTTCTTATTGATTGCACGGACCTGTCTGGAGATCCAGGACGGTGAGCCTTTCTCGGTTTTCACCCAGCCCCGCACTCGCTGTTTAATGCATTCTTTTTTTTTAATCCTAACCTGAGGATATTTTCCATTTATCTTCAGATAGAGTAAAAGAAATGGAGAGAGAGAGAGAGAGAGAGAGAGAGAGAGAGAGACATCAACGTGAGAGAGATACATCAATTGGTTGCCTCCCGCATGATCCCGACCAGCCCCGCACTCGCTGTTTAATGCATTCTTTTTTTTTTAAATCCTAACCCGAGGATATTTTCCATTTATCTTCAGATAGAGTAAAAGAAATGGGGAGAGAGAGAGAGATACATCAATTGGTTGCCTCCCACATGATCCCGACCAGCACCGGGACCAAACCACAACCGAGGTACGTGCCCTCGACTGGAATCGAACCCGCGGCTCTCTGGTCTGCAGGCCAACACTCTAACGGCTGGGTCAAACTGACCAGGGCTTAGCTCATTCTTAATGAGGGGCGCGTGTGTGTGTAGCAGAAGCTTCCAATAATTAGGTGCCCGGTCTACCAACACTTTCCTCCCGTGTCTTAGTGTGGAGTCTGCTTTCTGGCCTCTGGGATGACGCCTCTAATCTGTGCCGCCACAGCCTCGCTGCCTGGGTGAGAGCCGGCCAGGCTGTGAGTCCTCCAGAGCCCTCTGCCCTCGGGCTCAGTGAGGGGGTTTCCCTGCCGCCCTGCTTCTCAGAACCCCTGAATCTGCCCCCCGCCCTCTGCCCCACAGGAAGACAGAGTGAGCTTCTTAAAATTCCCATCAGGCCCTGGCCGGCTTGACTCAGCGGTCAGAACGTCGGCCCACTGACCAAAGGGTCTCAGGTTCGATTCCCAGTCAAGGGCACGCACCTGGGCTGCAGGTTCAATCCCCGGCCCCGGTTGGGGTCCTTCGAGAGGCAACCAATCAGTGTCTCTCTCACATCGCTGTTTCTCTCTCTTTCTCCCTCCCTCCCTCCCACTCCATCTAAAAATCAATGGGAACATATCCTTAGGGGAGGAGTAAAAAAAAAAAAATTTCATAAAATATCCATCAGCTTTCTCACACCCCACCCCAGGCTCCAGGCTTCTGGGCATGCTTAGAATTAAAATCTCACCCCCACACCACCCCCAAACCACCCTGAAGGAGATACCGCCTCCAGAAAGGCCCCCAGAGATCTCCACGAGCTCCCAGGAAGGCAAGTGCACCCCACTGGGCCCCCTTCTCACCCCTCAAACATTAGTCAACAACCGGGTCTTGTCATCAGAAGAGCAGCAGAGACGGCGGGCGTTTCCACGATCGGCCTATTTTCTTCCACCCCCGCCCAGCCTGGGAGGCTGGCAGGAAGAGATGTCCCCACACCCCTCCCCCACACCCCTCCCCCACCTCTGACAGCTGACGCTGCGGCTGGGAGAGGGGAAGCAGGTTTCCACCCTCACACAGCCAGGTAGGGGTGGGGGCAGATGGGAAATCTTGGCGTTCAGGCATATTTTGGGCACTTCCATGGTGACAGGTAAAGGGGACCACACTGGAGGAGCCCGGTGTCCATCAGGACTTGCTCTCCGTCCTCACCACACCCCACTGGCTGGTGGCCTCGCCTACACCCTGAGTCCCATGAGGATCCATGGCCCACTGAGTCAACCCCCTGGAATGCCCGAGGCTCCCCCAATAGCAGGCTCCGGCCGCCTGCACAGACACGTGGTCCGGTGGAGAGGGGCTGTTAGCACGGGAAATGGTCAAGGGTTCAACAAGAGATGAGCCATCTGGTCGTCCCGAGGTAAACAATTTACAAGAGATAAAGCCAGCCAGCCTGCTGTTCTGGTTCGTCTTTCGACCGAGGGATGTGCGGTTTCCCTGTCCTCTGGGTGCTGGGCGGAGAGAGGCTGCCCCAGGCACCTGGCTCCCGCTCCAGGGCCTCCCTCGGGGCACGGGGCAGGAAAAGTCAGATTTTTTTCACACCTCTTTATGCCAGATGGTTAACCTACACTGTAAGGAGAGTCGATTTTTCTCCCAAACAGACTTATTTTCTAGAATCCTAACCTTGAATTTCTAGAATCTTCAGCCTTAAATCCATTTCCTGTTGGAAGAAGACCCCCTACTGGTCTCCCCGGGTACTGTAGCCCTGTTCTACCAGCCTCTGCAAATGCCCACAAAAGCAAAAGAGGGGTTCCATGCTCACCCTTGGGACGGAAGCCAGTGGGTTCCCAAGCACATGGGATATCTATGTGGCTCAACAGCCTGACATAAACAACGTGTGCCGGAATTGTCATCCTGGAGTTTCCAAAAGTGTTGCAAAACTTTCCAGGCTGACTCCGGAGTTTGTGTACCACCAGCTGTTTATCAATTAATTCCCTCTTTGCCAAACATTCTTGCTTGGGTCTATTGGGAGATGATTTTGGTGGGAATGCAGCTCCAGTTTGGGAAGAAAAATTGCCAATTTTGCAATGAAAATTTTGTAACGAAAGAGGGCTTGCTTTATAGAGGATCGTGTTACAAAAAATGGGGCAAGAACAGGTAGTTCCCACAGGGATGAGGACGAGGATTGTGCTAAGCTCCAAACTCATATTAAAAAAAAAAAAAAGTGACATCAGGGGACCAGGATTTGGGGACTCTGCAATAACCTGTGACATACACATCGCAGAGTCACGGAGAGGGGATGAACATAAGTCTCTGGGGTCAAAAAACCCAAGTTCAAGTGTAGCCTTTACCTCTTTCTAACCATTTGACTTGGAGAAGTCCCTTGTCCTCTGAGCCTCAGTTTCCTTATTCATAGAATGGAAGCCATTGCAACCACCTTCCTTTACAGTTGCGAGGACACGCATTTTTCTCCCCATTAAAAGGAAAAGCCAAACTATAACTGACAGCCTTTCCTACTGCTCTGCACTGCTCAGGGTAGGAGCGTGGGGAGGTGTATTCATTCTCTGCAGCTGCTGTAACTGAGACCCCACGCTGGGCGGCTTGAAGCAACAGAAATGTAGAGTCCCGCAGTGCTGGAGGCTGGAAGGCCGTGCTCCAACGACTCAAGGAGAGTTGTTCCTGGCCTCTTCCAGGTCCGGTGGTGGCCATCACTTCCTGGCTTGTGGCTGCACCCCTCCAGCCTCGGCCTCTGTGCGTGCACGGTGTTCTCCCTGCGTGTCTGTCTTCACAAGGCCTTTCCCTCTGTTACAGGGACACCAGCCACATTGGATTAGGGCTCACCCTAATGACCTCCCCTAACCTGGGTACATCTGCAAAGATCCTATTTGCAAATAAGGTCACATTCACAGGTACAGGGGGGTGCGACATCAACATATGTTTTGGGGGATACGATTCAACACGTAACCGGTAGAATACACTCTGTTGAGCCCAGCAGTTGAATGAGGTTTTGGCTGTGTCGAGGTTGGCCCCAAGCAATGGGGGGGAGGGGGGGGACGCTAGACTGTTCCCGAGTAAGAAAAGGCAGAAATGTGAGTGTGACGACTGACGGCTAGAGAAGGGGAAGGTTTTGGGGTGGCAAGGGGACAGCACATGAAATTCTCCGGGCAAAGGATGGGGATTCTAGGCTATATTTCCAAGTGTGCTTCCCTTGGATTCCCAGGACCCCAAATTCTGTGGACCTTCTTCCCGATGGCACCCTGTTTTCCCTTGGGGGATTTAGTTCTTGCCTGCTGCTGTCGGTCCCCATGGTCCCCTCACCGAGGGGAGGCACAAGGCCATGCCAGGCCCTCCCTGGAAAGGAGGCTGGAGCAGGACAGGGCCCGGACCATGCTGGGTTTCCATCCTGGCTGCGGTGGGCCCGGATGCGACTGTCTGCTGTGAATCCGTCCTGGGTTGCTGAGCCCCCGGTTCAGGCCATTTCCAGGCCTGGTTGTCTGGATCCATCAGTGGGCCAGATATTTTTACACCGGCTCACAACCGATATCTCCCAAGTCTGCTGTTTCAAAAGCCTCGTGTTAGCGCTGCTTCGGGGAGAACACATCGGCACGAAGGTGAGTGGAAGAAATGCTAAGCCCCTAAAGAATCCCTGGGGATTGTGGAGAATCAGGGAGCAGGCAGGGGCCTGGGTTTCCCGCTGGGGTCTCGCCAGGTTTAAATATTCCAGGGAGGGGTATGCCACAAGAAGTCCAGGAGATGGGGCGCCCAGGGGCTGACGCTTGGGCATCCATGTCAAGTTCCAAGTAGAATGCCTGGCGCACACAGACACAGGACAGTGGTGACCGCAACCTGACACACTGCCCTCCGGAGAATGTGGCCCTCCCTTTGGGCCCGGGCATCACAGCCTGGGCCAGACGCCTCCCCTGTGGGGTCTGGGCCCCCGCCAAGGGAGCCTCTCTGCAAGCACGCTGCTTGGATTCTGCGCCCCTCGGGCTTTTCTGGTTTTCCTGCTTAATGAGGTGAGGTCTGCCCAGCTCAGTAAAAGCCTCGATGACCCAACGTGTTGAGTTTACAGGGGAGCGCTCCCTGAGGGCTGGGTTGGCTGGAAACAGGTGCTTTGCTCCTTCCAAAGACAGTAATGAGGTCTGAGGATGCCAGTGGAGGCAGGGGTGCTGTGGATGCCAAGAGCCCTGGGCTGGGGGTCAGAAGATCTGGGCTCCAGCCCCAGCCGACTAATTGGGCATTTGGGGATAGAACACATACCTCACAGCACCACTGTCGGGCTACAGCAGATGTAGAATCGGCCTGAAAACCACGGCGCTCTCAGCAAGGGAAAGAAAGCACCAGCCTCCCTGTAGCTCCCATCATCACCATCACTGGAACCTCAGACCTGTGGCAGGAGAACAGTAACCCCCGTGACTCTGACCTGGAGTAACCCTCTCCTGCTGGGGTGTGGGCGCAGGCTGTGAATATAATGGGATATGGCTCTTCTGATTATGCTCCTCCAGGCGTAGAGGTTTAAAGCACGAGAGGGATCGGCGTGAGGAGGTTCTTTCTGGCTTTGAAGACCGGAGGCCACGTGGTAAGGAAAGCCGAAAGTGGCCCCGGCTGACAACTAGCAACGACAGGACCTCAGTCCTACAGCCGCATGGACCTGAATGGCGCCAACAAGAATGATCTCGGACGTAGCTTCGTCCTGGACCCTCCTGGCAAGGACGCGGCTTGACCGATACCTGAACGGCAGCCTCGGGCGGCCTGAGCGGAGCCCAGCCTCCTGGGGCCAGCGTGCCGCCCTGCAGGACGGGCAGCCCCCCACGGGGACGGTGAGCTGCTGGGTTTGTGAAGGAGGCCCGCCAGTGGAAGGCGCCTACCCCGCCTGCCCTCCCGGTATGGTCTAGGGGTCAGAGACAAGGCTCAGCTCCCGGCTGTGTGATGGTGGCCACGCTACCCCCTCACCTCTCCGCGCCTCCGTTCCCTCATCTGGAAAATGGGGGTGGGGATTAAGCGTGTGTCAGGCATGGGAGGGGAGTGCACGGTCAGGGCACGCAGTGAATGCCCAGCCACGCGAGCGCTGTACGTAATGACAACGGCCAGCTGGCCACCGTGCGCCTCTGGTCTGCAGAGCCCGACCCGCACCAGGACACAGGAATGAGCCCTGACTGGGAGTCACAGGCCACTTGGGGAATCACTGCCCCCCATCAGGGTCCGGGTCAGGCCCGGGTGTAACTCCTTCCTCGAGTCCCCTCTGCACCGACTCCGTGAGGAGGACATTTGGTTTGAGGGTTCTGCTGCTCAGCCCCTGTCTCCAGCCTGAGGTCAAGGCCTTGCCCTTGAGTGTGCGGACAGATCGGGGGCCTGGGCACCGCTGGTGGGGTGTAGACGGGGCAGCAGCTCTGGAAGGTGGTCTGGCGGTTCCTCCAATGGGTACGAAGGTTACGAGACGGCCCAGCATGTCCGCTCCTTGGTGCACACCCAGGAGAAATGAGTGCATGTCCAATAAAACCTGTACACTCGTCCTCGGCAGAATTATTCCTAACAGCCGAGGAGAAAATGGCCAAATGTCATAGCTGATGAATAGATACAGTAATAAATGTGGTCTGTCCGCACAGTGGGATATTAGTGGGCCATATAAAGAATGGAGCATGGATCTATGCTACAACGTGGGTGAATCTTGAGAACACTATGCGGATGGGAAGAAGCCAAACCTAAAAGGTCACATATGATGACCATTTATGTGAAAGTCCAGCACAGGCAAATCCATAGAGACAGGAAGCAGGTCAGTGGTCGCCAGGGGCCGGGAGCAGAGAGAACGGGAGTGACTGCCGATGGCTACGGCATTTCTTTTGGGGGAGGTGAGAATGTTCTGGAATTAGATGGTGGTGATGGTTGCTCAACTTTGTGAATATGCTAAAAAAACACTGAACCATACACTTTAGAAGAGTGAATTTTATGGGAGGTGAGTTATATCTCAATGTTTAAAAACGGATTTCTTAAAAAGTTCTGGCTGTTACTCGCTGCCTGGCCTTGCACAGGTGACTTGGCCTGAGCCCCCGGCTCCCACCAGTAGAACAGGACCATAACCACGGTGCCACCACGTGGGCCTGCTGAGACCACGTGAGAAAATGCGAGCAAGCCGTGCTCCGTAAATGGGAGTTTTAGAATCTGTGTTAGGATCAGTTACTGGGAGAGTAGAAAGTCGGGGTGATCTCTCGAGGGCCTGCCCCCTCCGGCAGCTCTGCTCCCTAAAACACACGCCGCTCGGCTGACTGTCCTCCTGCCCGCCCCCGCTGCCCTGGCTTACCCTGTTCCTTCTGCCTGGTGCCCTGCACGACCCTCCCTGGCAGGTCCAATCTCCTGCCTTCAGGCACCCCGACAGCTCCCCCTCTGGGCCGCTGTCCTGTTCCCAGGGGAGCCACAGGGCCCGCTGGCCCTTTCCCCAGGCCCTGACCGGGAGGCGCTGCCGCAGCTTCTGTCACCCCAAGTGCGCTCATCCCCAGAGTCAGGCTCTCTGAGCAACTTGATGACAGGGGTCATGTCTTCTGCCAGCGTGCCCCAGATTTCATTCGAGGAACAGCTGTAGCCTTCGTTACTTAACCCTTTTCTTTAAATCAACTCACTTTTCAAAACGTGCATTTTAAAAGGACGCTTCAGTTCTGACCGTAAACGAACAGCCAGGGTCATTTGTAAGCAGGGACAACACACTCAGGGACGACTGCAGAACAGCACACTGAGCGTGAGAGCAGGTGGGCACACGTGGGCTCAGGTGGGCACAGGTGCCGCGACGCTCTGCCATTCGGGGGCAGGGCAGTGGGTCTCGGGGAGGACGTACAGACACTACAACAAACAGACCTTTTCACTGGCAAAATTGGGACTGAGAGATCTTTGAAAAGGGACTTCTGTGATCTGTGAGTCACGGTTACTAGTGCCTGGGCCTCCCAAGTCATCTCTCCTCACCTCCTGCAGGTTGTGACTTAAATACACCCCCTCATGAGGCGTTTCCTGGCCCCTCATCTCTGCGGGTCCACCCCTGCCCCCCATTTCCCAATCTTCTCTTGCTGCTTTATTTTTCCTTTAGCACTGGTGACCGTCTGATATCTACACACATTTTCCAATTGTCTGTCATCCAGCTAGATGGACGGACAGCTCCAAGACGTCGGGCCCGGCACTTTCAGAAAGTGCCCAGCATCTAGGGAACATTCCGGAAATATCTCCTGAATGGATGGATGGATGGACAGATGAATGGATGGGTCTTGTCTGTCCAGCAACTTTGCACCATCTTGCTTTGCACCAAATCTCACACCTAGGAGGTGGCCCAGTAAACGGATATACCATGAGGAAGTGAACAAATGAATCAATCAATGAGTTTTTCCCTGGACAGTGAAGCTCCCAATTTTTGAGATAACCCAGGCCTCGTGTGTGTATGTTTTCAAAGTCCCCAATTCTAAATCCTTCCTGCAGATGGTCTCCAGGACTAAAAGAACAGAGCCTTTGCCAAAACAAGTGGATGAATTACCAGGCCTCCAGTTTAGAGAAAGTTGGGAGCCCCAAGAAGTTGTGGGGAGCCAGAGGAGTGGGGAGAGTGTTCCCCAGGGACCAACCCCTCCTTGCCCTCCTGCCCACCGCCCCTGGCACACTGCTGAGTGGGAGAAGCCAGCCAGACACACAGGCACGCTGCACTGACTAAGTGAGCCTAAGTACATCAAGATGCGCACGCTGACGCCAGCCACTCGGAGTGGATCTGGAATGAATTGGGGGGTTGTTAAGATCGCCGACTTAAGCCTCTTCTCACAGGAAAAATATTTATTTCACTGAGCTCTGCTTTTTGGAAAGCTGCACCTCTAACAGTCTGCATCGATCTAGCAGAGTTTTGGCTACTGCTGGCTTTCGTCTCCTCTCCTGTCTCGGGCGGAGTGGGCCGGGTGTGTGTGTGCGTCGGTCCGTGATGATTAAGCAATCAGCCAGAAGACGCAGCCAGGACACTCTGCTCTACTTGAACCAGAAAGCAATGGGCACCAACTGACTTCATGACACGGGACAGACACAGGGCCTGGGTGTTTTATCTGCAGAGATGCCTGCTTGCAAGAGGCAATGACTTCTTTCCTTCCCTTTTTATATAATATGCTCCCTTTTTTCCCCCTCCCTGGTTCTGGGGGGAAAAATACAGACAATTATAGGGAAGGAAGTAAAAATCCTCTTCTAAGGAGCCACGACTAGCCTTTAGCACACAGTTCATTTCTGGTCTACTCTTCGGAGCCTAAGGGTTTGGGTTCTGGCCTTGCCACTTGCTGGCCATGTGACCCTGACAGTCACATCACCACTTGGAACCTCTGTTTCCTCATCTGTGAAACAGAGTCAGAACAATACGTACCTCTGTGGGTTGTTTCAAGGAGTAAACAAGAGAAAGTGCATACAGAGCTTAGCAGTTTCCAGCACATAGTAAATGCTCAATACCTATTTTATAGGGTAAATATATGCAATCTGTATACTTTCCTTTTCCCCTTTCAGGATTCTTATAAGCATTGTTTAATAACCACAAAATATTCCATTGCAGGGCTACACTAACATTATTTTTTAACTGTTCCCTAGGGATGGAAACAGAGGTTGCTTCCACGCTATTACAAAAATTGCTGTGACAAATTTCCCTAGACTCAAATCTTGGTCTGCATTCGAGGTTCTGTCTTTAGGATGAATTCTCAGAAGTGGAATTAGTGGGTCAATGGTATGAGCACTTCCAAGAATCGCAATAGATCACATTTAGCACTGGGAGTTGCTTTCCAGAAAGATCACCATGGACATGTACGGGACATTCCACCTCACCACAGCCCAGCTGCATGGATGCTGTTGCTAATTTGACAGGCAAAATGTCATTTCAGTTCCTTGATTTGCATTTGTTAACATTTTACTCACTATTTTTCTAACACTGGGTATGTACTATGCCGAGCATGGGCTTAGGACTTGTTGTAAACTGTCTTAATCACCCTCTGGGCAAGAAGTGAAAAGAGGGTCTTAAACAGACTTCTGCACACCTGTGTTCACAGCAGCATCATGCACAACAGCCGCAACAGGTGGGAGCAACCCGTGCCCACCAACAAATGAACAGATGCACAAAATGAAATATATGCTAAAATGGAATATTATTCAGCCTTGAAAAGGAGATGGATTCTGACACATGCTCCAGTACAGATGAACCGTGACGGTGTGCTGAGTGAGTAAACCAGTCAAAAATGGACAAGCATAGTATGATCCGTGTATATGAGGTTCCTGCAATAGTCAAATTCATAGAGGCCAACAGAATGGGGGTTACCATGGGCTGAGGGAGGGGGTGATGGTAGTGTTGCATGGGCACAGAGTTTCATGGGGAGAAGGAAACCTTCCGAAGGGTGGTGATGG